CGTTTGGTGACCAAAATATTGCAAATATAACAATTTAGTCGTATAATTTTAAAACAACGGAAAAGCATTATTTCCTAGTCATAGATGGGATATAAAAACAAAACAAACTTTTATTATAATTTATATCTTTACTAATTATACTTTTTTTGCTAGAATTTTGCTAATTTTCTTCCTTCAAATTTTTCATTTCTTTACTTTCTTTAATTTTCTTATTAAAGTGTCCTTAAAACATTTCTTTTTTCTATTAGTTTTATTGCCAAGCGGAACCGAGCTGTTATCGGCTGCTTTACTTTTATTAGATAAACTTTTTTATTTCGTGTAATCGGTTATGTGAATTACCAATTGTTAATCAAGTAATTGGTGATAATTGCCCTCAGATAATTTATTTTCTTTCAATGGAGGGGGAGGTGGTAATATTATTCATAATAATTTCTCTAAAAATTTTTAAATATTAATTTTGAAATAAACGAAAGATGCCTTTCAGTTAGATGCAGAACTTTTTAAAATGTTTTTAACTCAAATATTAATCAGAATCTCTTCTATAAGATCAACGGATAAAAAAATTTTTGGTCGGATTTTCCCCGAGATATGAATTTTAAAAAACACAGCTAAAAATTTTAACGAACCTAAAAATGAAGATTTCTAAAATCAAAATAAACAGAAATGGATCCAAAAATGGAAAAAGAATTGTGGACTTTCTTTTTAAGAATATTCCCTTGGTCTTAAACTTAAAAACATCGTGAGAGTATTCGAAATGATTTATTTTTCCGATACCAAAAAATGATAAGAAATCGAATTAAAAAAATTTCAAAGGCAACAGAAGCAGGGGAAAAGTTTTATGCTAATGTTGAATCAAGCATCTTAAAAGTATAAATTTATAAATGTTTAGAAACTTCCGGAAAAGTTTTCGTAAGAGTTTCAGAATTAATTTCAAACATAATATTTTCCGGAAAAGCTATAGATACTATCGCAACACCACTACACAACGCATGGTTGACAAAATACCACTTTACAATTTGTGTTATATCATTTACTTAGAAATCCAAGTTTTGAACATTTTAAAATTTTAATCAGAAGAAAAATTTAGAATTGAAAACAAATATAAAAAGTGTAAATATTAAAAAAGAAAAATGAGAAGAAAACAAAACAAGTGAAAAAGAAACAGTAAAAACTAGAGCTCGGTAAAATCACATTTGCAGGATCCTGTATCAGGATTGGGTTTTAAAATTTCAAACAGGACAGGATCCTGCAGGATTAATCCTGAAAATCCTGGAATCCTGACAATCCTGAAAACTGAAAAAAGGCAGGATTTCGGACAAGATCCTGAAAAATCCTGTGCAGTATCCTGTCCTGTGCCGATCTCTAGTAAAAACCCGAAAAAATATAAAAAAACAGAAACACAATGCCAAAATTTTAAATAAGAAATTTAACAAAAATTTTAAAATTTTTACTTAAATACATATGTAAAAATACCCAAAATATGAAATAATATGCAAATATGCACGAAAGTAACAAAATATGCACAAATATGCAATAAAAACCGGGTCTAAATTGCTCGAACCATTATAAAAACGTGTTTGAGCTTCCCCCTTCAAAGCATATCCGGATACATATTTATGCATTTGCATGTTTTACCCAACCCTAATAATGACTTAAATCCCTTTTAAATAATCCCCTTTTCTAAAAGTCAAAAATGAAAAGAAATTTTTTCAATAATATTTGTTTTTGAATTCCTCTAGAGTTTTTTTCATTAAACGAGCTCCATCTTCTACTTGTTCTCTGAATTAAGATAAAATTAAGATTAAATTTTTTAGGTGAAGTTTAATTAAAATCTGTTTAAAATCTCACAATGATTTCCCGAATCTTCACTTGAATAAACTGTGAATTTCTGCGGATGCTTTGGTTGACGTGAAGATTCACCACGCAATTTGCGTTGACGACGTCCTTAAAAAGTAAAGCAGAGATGGCCTATAGCTATTCCTCTCCTTTAGCTAGTGCAAAAGGTTACACGACGGCTGGGAGCGAACCAGCATCTTTAGTAGACCGTACTGATATGTTAGGAATTAAATAGCAAAATGCTTCCCAATCTTTTACCAAAACAATGGGAATACTTTTTTTATTAATTCAACATTGAACCTCTATCTACTATAATGGGTTAAAATAACTATCGTGCAGAAAAAATCTGACGTTTAAGCGAGTATCAAGAAAATGAGGTGGAACTTTTTTGTATTTACGAACTAAAAAATCCAAGCCCGACCGATTTATTAAATTAATTTTGCATAAACAATAACGAACCTTTAGGTGGAAATTCAATCCAATCTAATAAAATAAAAATTATTATAGTACTATTATATTAAATAAATAAAGAAATTTTCTAATAGAAGCACACCTCTAATATAAGCACACTCTACGAGGGGATCGAATATAGAACCCCTATTCACCTACTCATCTCCCCCACAAAAATATACGTGGAGCAACTCAGACAAAAAATAAAATCTCTAATCTACACATAAAAAGGATTTTCTTAGTACCTTGGATTAGTCTGTGCATAATCTTCATGAAAAATATGCTCCATTCGCCGATCAACATATAAATTGTATTTATCCAACACATATAAATAATCTTTAGTAATTGTTTGTTCATAAGTGAGTAATTCACACTCAAATTCTTTTGACTCATTATTAAAATTAATTTTGTAAGCATTTACCTTATCTTTTGAATGAATTGCTGGTGGACATGTCATTCCAATCTTTATATATTAAAAAAGTTTATTTTAATTTAAATATATTATGTACAAGTCAGAACACTATGGAAAATAAAAACTCAATTATTTAATAAGATCTTCAATAGAGATGTCATAAATAGAAATTTTTCTAGATATATGTAGCTTATCAAAATAAAATAAGCCTTAATTGGATCATAACACAATGAATTTAAAGAACTCCAGACACCAAAAACCCACAAGACTTATTAATATCATTAAAAATATAGAAAGGTTGTAGGATAGTTGGAAATCCTTGAATATCCGTATCCGACAACCCTACACTATAGTGCATTCTACTTTTACGACCCAGACCTAATTCATCAGGTACCAGACCCCTATTGTACTTCCTGAACTATCTTCAGTTTCTGGATACCAATTTTTAACCCAATTGTGTACAAGTCCGATTATAGTTATTATTTTATTTTTCGAAGGCGGCGCAAAAGTCGCTCGGCGCAAAAGTCATGATACCATATCCAGTACTTATTTCAGAAAAAAATTGGAAGTGTATAAATTTTATAACATTCCTTACAATTTTATAATTTTTGTCATATTGAGGATCATGGGTGTGTTCGACATTTAAATAGCTATCCGGTATGTTGTAATCTGGATCAACATGAATTGACGCTCTACACCAAGTACCTCTAACCGTATATTTATTGCAAACCCAAAGTGTTGTTGAATGATGAGAATAGATATCTCCATTATACTTGATTGCTGTTTTATGATAAACTGTTTCTGACAGTTCTATCTAAATTTTTAATATAAAATTGTTTAAAGGAAAGGGCCTTTTACATCTTCCCAAATTCGTAAAGTCTGGTATTTATTCGCAACTGAATTTTTCTGTACCTATTCAGATGAGCTTTATTTATAATATACATTTTTATGCCAAAAATCGCCCTTTCACCCTTTGTTTTGACTATTTTGAGACCTTATATCTCGAGCCTCGATCGTTTTCTTACAAAAGAAAAGATACAATTAAGCTAGGATTATAGGGGCAATCAAATATATACGTTTCAAACAGAATCAGATATGTTTCGAGAGATGGGCTAGGAATGTGGACTTAACCTCCTATCTCAAAAAATGGATGAAAACTGCGCAGTCTCTTTGCGGAATGTAGGGAAATAACGGGTATATTAGTGGATTTGAATTTGAGCAGATATAAACTATTAATATTTTTTCCTAACCTTGTAATCAACCAATAAAGTACAGGGTGACACAAAAAGGATGTCCCACTTATTTTTCGTCATAACTTTATTCAGAATTAAGATAATAAAATAAAATAAAGATGATATTATAGAGAACTAAATGAAGAATAAAATATCAAAAATTTTTAGAATTTTCAACATTTTACTTTGAGATAAAGTTGAAGGCAAGTGAGAAAAAATTTCGATCCAGCACGCACCTTTTTTTGAGAAATTTTGCCTATAACTTTATAACAGATTGCATGAATTACACAAAATTTTTAGAGAATTTAGAGTATTTCTTGGCCTATAGAAATTATAAAACAAAATTTTTTTGGGTTAACGCTTAAGGAGATATTCGATTGCGCGTAACCCTCCCAAAATGAGAAAATCGCACTCCCCCCAAAACTGACTTATATCTACTCAGAGCCATCTATATAAGAGTTGGAGTTTTCAGCTTTCAGATTCGTTAGGCTTGCTAATAAGCTTAATTAAATTCTGTTGAGATCATCACGGTTGGGCTTTTCATTGTTGAGATACAGAAAGTGAAATTTTGGGGGGCAGATTTTAATATAGTATATGTAAAATTGCATAACTTTCTTAATCTTTAATCAAAAATTTTTAATTTTACTATATAATATAGAGAATTGAATGGGCTACAAAAAGAGTATAAAATTATTTAAAAATGAAAAGAATAAAATTAGTTATAATGGATTGTAAAGTGGGACATCCTTTTTGTGTCACCCTGTATATTCACCATTCGGGCAAATTAAAGTTTTCACATAATTTGTTGATTTAAATTCCCCGTTTCCTTCCACATCGTCTACATTACTATTAAAATTGGCCACAAAATTTGAATTATCCGTGTCTTTACATTTAATCATTATACTATTTATTTTTTGCTTAGATTCAGCAGGACTAGTAGGCCAAATAAAAATTAAAACACGAAGATTATTAAACAAATAAATCAAGTTCTCAAAAAAGTATTCTTCTCCTTCAACTTTTATGTATTTAATATATTTTGTAGTGTCTTTGCGAAGAATGATGTAGATTATTGTATCATTTTCCAGTATTTCTTCTATAGTGCCAATATCCGTCTTAAGGAATTTTTTAATTTAATAAATTATTAAATATTACATATGGTTATAATATGGTTATGTTTTATCCTTAATTATATATTTAATATTATGCAAACCCTTGTCATAATATATAATAAAGTCCCTTTATTAGATTTGTTTAAAGCTCCATGGGCAGTAAGTATTAAACTTGGCTAAATTTGTTTACCTTTTATACTTAGATGCTTAACCTAGCCTAAACATTTTTAAATACTAGCAAAATGTATCAACCCTTCCTTACACTAACTTTAATAAGCCCATAAATTGTTATTTTCAATGTAAAAGGGCCTGCATTTAGATTCTCAAAGTGAAATGTATCGTTTATGTCAGTCAATCTTGGATTGCCGAACTGATCTCCATTCAATTCCAATTTAAATCTTTCGTCCTCTTCTTTAGCCAAGCGTTTGTAATAATTTTCTCCATTTTCTCCGTTATCTCGCCAAGAAATTTTTACAAAAATGGAATATGGAGAAACAAAGTTAAAAAGTGAATTGAAGAAAATAAATAAAAAGAATAACGACATTCTCTAAATATAAATAAAAAATATAAATTGAAGATAAAATAATGATTTGGAAATGGAATAGTGGAGAGTAAAGGCAACTAAAGGTGGATTTTGCGTAAGAGGAAGAGAAATTTATTTGTTAATAATGTTATCCACGGACTCAAGAATCGATACTTCAATTTCACAAATTCCGACCCCGACCATAATTCTCAAAGTTGTTTATATTTATTCCTTCCCAGCTTATTTTTACACTAAATTCCCCAAGAAATTCTAAAAACAAGCCATGCTAATATGAAGAATTCAGGCAAATGACTAAGGATTTGTGAAAACAAAAGGAAAAGAAGATTCGGAAGAGGAAATGTCGTCAGAATTGTATTCCAAATTAAATTTCTTAATTCAAGAATTCGAATTCGATTTGTGGAAGGGTAAGCATTCGCGCTTCCTGGTATGAGAAGCACAAGTCATTCTTCGACTTAGAAGGTAATCCGTTAGCCGAACTGTAAAAGTCAGATTATTATTAAGAAAATTAAAGGGTAGTGAGTATGCTAAGATATCACAGAAATTAATGCCCCAGAAATTAGATTGGATGAGATTCGATATTCTCGTTCAAGAATTAGATAACGAATTCAGTGTCCATCGGTCCAAATTTGTGAAACGATTCGAGGCTATTAAATTAAGATGCATGTCTCTGTATTGAGAAAATATTAGATTTTGGGACAATGTTAATTCTGATTGTGGAAATGGCTTTAAAGGTCGAAGATTCGAAAATTCTTATTTTCATTGCAGGGATTCCTGATGAGACAAATTATCTGCGCCAAATTTGTTCGCGATTCGTCGAACAAAATTATAATTCGGAATAGTGTACATTCAAACAATTATTGGAGCAATGTCGCAGCTAGCTCGCAACAAAAGAAGAAGCAAAGATTTTTGAAAATATTCAAGAAATGGTAAAATTAAACACGATTATTCATTTGAAGTAAATAATGTTAGTAAATTTCCTATTCAGAATCAGCAGATTATTCAGAATTCTAAAATTAAAAATGATTATTCGGAAGACAAATTCGTCAAAAATGACTATGAAAAGAAAAGATTAAACCAAGTAAGTCAATTCAATATATATTTAAACAATTATTCCGATAATCAAAATAGATTCAGAGAAGATATTCAATGTTATAATTGTGGTTTTATTGGATATTATGTAAATGTACATGTAGGTGATAGTATGATCCAACTAGACTGACGCTTTCAATCTAGTTGTATCATATATCTCTAAATATTTATATTATATATATCACTTTACAATAAGTTGGGCGGATCCGGATATACGTATCCGTAAAAAGCTTCAGAAAAATTTTGGTTCGGATCTCAAGTTTTAAATTGTTCATATCAGTGTGGTCCTTTCCAAATCACCAAAAAAGTGCATGGCTGCTCAAAAAAGGGGCAAAACACACTTTATCCTAAAACATCACGCCCAAAGTCCTCGATAATTGCTTTAAGATTTAAACATATTTCCTCTTTTTTCATGCCGCAGGAAGAAAATTTTTAAAATTTGCAAGGACAGTCTAAGTTCCTCCGATTATTGTGTCAGAAATGTGCAAAATTTAAAAGCCGCAACTGCAGTTCGCAAGTAAAATTTTGAAAAAATTTAAAATCATCCAATTTTACGCAATCCGCGCAATAAGGCGCCTAACAATTCGCAATTGAAATTTTTTTCGTAATCGCAATTCAAAAAAAATTTCGTAATCGTAATTCGAAATTCAAAAAAAAATTTCGGAATAGTAATTCGTAACTCAAAAAATGCCGTAATTCGTAATTTAAAAAAATATTTAAATTAACCTTTTCGTCCTCTACCGCGAATTACTCTACATGACCTTCTATTATTTTAGAATTATTTTATGAAGCAGAGCCTATATTATGGACTTATCTCAAATTTCAACACCGAACTCTAATAATAGAGTAAGAGAAAAATAAGGCAGTTATGTTTTCGGTAAAAGTCCAGCTCGCTATCTATATGTCCGCAAAAGGCATTTCTGCAAAAAGCATTTTTGCTGCTTTCTCCTCCTTACCGTTTCTTTTCTTTGATTGGTTGACATCTTGGCGCATCTACTTTGGGGAGTAAGTCATAAAAAAAGTTTAAGTACAAATAATTAAATAAAAATTAAAAGAATATAAATTTGCAAATATTTTATAAAATTTTATTTAAAAAAATTAAAACACCTAATTTTTTAAACAATTCCTTAAAAAATAATTGTCTTTTAAATTTTAATAAAATTTTAAAATTTATGAATGTAGGTGTTGAAAAGTAACATTTTTTAATAAAAAAAGTTTTTAATTATTTCTATTAATTGTTTATTAAGTAATTTGTTATTCTTTATTTTTCAGAAATTTTTCTTTAAAAAGAATTTTTCACAAATTTATATTCTTTTAATTTTTATTTAATTATTTGTACTTAAACTTTTTTTATGACTTACTCCCCAAAGTAGATGCGCCAAGATGTCAACCAATCAAAGAAAAGAAACGGTTAGGAGGAGAAAGCAGCAAAAATGCTTTTTGCAGAAATGCCTTTTGCGGACATATAGATAGCGAGCTGGACTTTTACCTATGTTTTCCTAATATAAATTTAAATAAAAGTTACAGATTTAATTAATTTCCACTTTTCAGTGAGTCGATTTTAGAGAGTGCGACCCTTTGTTTAAATTCTCTAAAACACTACCAGATATTGTTTAATACATTCATTTTAAAAGAGTTCTATCTTAGAGATGGGCTTCTAATACCAAAAGAAAGTCTCTTTAAAAGAGTGTCTCTTCCCAGGGAGCATATCTTAGAGAAGAACTCTTTCATAAGGGGATATTTTAAATAATTAAATGTGGAGAGTTATAAAAAATAAAATTAAAAAATAAAAAAAAATATTTAAATGAATACGTAAATTAATAATTTACAATTAAAGCAGGCTCGCATAGGTTAAGGTAAATAACTCCCCTTAACAGCGCCTCTTTTTTGCCTTTACACCTCTCTAAAATTCGACTGTCATAAAAATCAAGACAGAATATCACCTTTAAATAAAATTTAAATAAATATTTAGCTATTATTAAGGATTTCCAAATGTTGATTAACCTCAAGCAAGGATGTTTTACTCGCCGTAATGTAAAATCGCTGGATATCTTGTACCGCTAAGGGATTCATAAGGATTAATCCAAGGGATTCATTCTAAATTGGGATTCTAGTGAGGAATTTAATTCTCTAAATCTCTCTCTTTCATAATGGCATAATAAGTTATGTATTACTAATCCAATTCTAATTAAATCCCTCATTTCAAAATAAAGTGAAAAAATTTTTATTTTGAAAGGCCGTCGAAGTTTCTTCACAGTCTAGCAAATAAAACGAAAATAAAACTATCAGTCGGAAGTTGGATTATTAATGCAGCTTGCAACAAATTTATCTCTTAGCTCTCAGAATTAATCCCCACCATTTTAAATATTTATTTATTTATCAGCAAACCACAGGTATTTTAAAATACATTAAAGTGGTGCATAAAATACATTAAAATATCCAAAATACATTAAAGGTTTTTGGATATTTATTAATGAGTAATGTTTTTGGAAAAACGAATCTTTTTAATTAAAACAAATTTTTTGAGTTGATCAGTCGCTTGATCACCCTGTTGAGGGGATAAAGACGTGTAATCGATAGCTTTATTAAGGAATAAAGATAGTCGCTAACGGAGAGGCTAATCCAATATACATTAATAGAGAAAAAGCGATATTGATTAAACATATACATACATACATGTAGAAATAATTGATTTACTTGACTATACTTTTTTAAAAAATTTAAAATAATGTTTGACAAAACAAAAAATTGTTTTTATTTTTGATGTTTGATTTGTTTCATTTATTATTTCATTTTTATTTCCTGCGAGTGGCGATTAGAGAGCGTAATTTTGAAATAACCGGAATCGGAACCGGGAAATTTCCCGGGCAAAAAATGACCGGTTCCCTACAGGGAAACAAGAAATTTTTAAAAAGGGAATTAAAAAATTTTTTTAAAAATCATTTTAAAATTTTAAAAAGTTTACGTTGATTTTACGTTGATTTTGATGTCATTCGAATCAGCTCGACAATCTCCTTCGAATGAGCTATTATTTGTTTAATCGAATTTTTAGCCCAAAAAATGAGCTTAGTCCCCCCTTTTATTTTTCAATTTTCGGGTGTCTGTATCTCGGCCCAAGGTTAAGACCGGGCGTTGATTTTGGTGTCATTCGACACAGCTCGGCGAGTTCTATAATCTGATAACAGACTGACCATTTTTTAATACTTTGAGTAAGGAAAAAGGAGGGGGGTACGAACCCAAGAATTACCTTTTATCGTAATGATTAATAATGGTTAGGCAAAATAAAAATGTTATTTTATAAAGAATTCATCTGTTTGCGGCTAAAAAGAATTCATATAAAGAGTTCATCTGTTTACTTCTTATTATGATAACGGCCCAGAAGGTAACTAATATCTGATTAATCCTAAAGTCTTCGTCTGCTTTCCAAAGCAGCTTAACCGTATTTTCTCTTCTTCGGCTCCGCTAGTCGATGCAACCTTTTCCTTTCCCCCCCCCCCTTTTCCTTTCCCGTTTTTTTGAAAAATAAGATTGTTGCTATCTTGTAGCAAATTTTAAGAGCTTTCGAATGAGCCTAAAATCAAAATTTACAGTAATCCATAAGGGGTCGAAAATATTTTTTTAAATTGAAAAACCCTGTTTTACGTTGATTTTCGGGGTCTTGGGATCTCGGCTCCGGGTAAAGATATGAGTCTAGTTCTTTTTTATTTTTTCATAATATCATTATGTATGCTTGCTAAAATTTTTGTAAATTTTTCCTTATCTTGGAAGTATCTTTTTTGTAAAGTGTTCTTATACTTTTGTGCAGTAAAAAAAACGCGAAATTTTAATAATATTAAGTTTTGGAGAGATGTTTTAAAAAATTTAAAATTTTAATTATTTAATCGTGTTTCTCATTATAATCCACATATTTACACAAAATTTCCTATAATTTGGTCAAGTATGTCCCAAGTTATAAGCTTTTTGAAAGTGTTCTTATACTTTTGTGCAGTACTGTAGTGTTAATGACTAATAATACCAATAAGTGTTACTCCTAATTTGAAAATTTTTCAAAAAATTTTTATCAGGATCTGGGATTTGGTATATCCGGTAACTTAAATTTTGAGACTATTCTACATTAATTTATTTACAAAAAGTTTTTTTACTAAAACTAATTTTTAT